TGAACTGGTGCCCTTTGCGGTATTGCAATTCTGAGATTATGCCAACCAACCTGGGTTTGCTGCAGTGTTCTGCTTCTGCTATAATGTGGAGTTCAGTTTTATAAAATGTATTTTTCTTTCAAATTTTCGTGACTTTTTTTTTTCTGGTATTGAATTACTTTCATCCCTGTTTCTGTCCAAATCTGTGGGGTTTTTTAAAGTGAAACAGAGACTGAAAGTAAGTGTTGACCTATGCTGGCGTATTTCTATATGCACAGGAATGGGGACTCTCCATCACCTATGAATTTGCTGGAACCACTGGCTAGCTGTCCTAGGATCCACTTTTAAATGTGATAGGCTAAAGTAACTTGACCATATAAATCCTTAAATCCTGAAGCATGCTAATGATGAATACTTGTGTATTTAAAACAACTCTGAATGGTCTCTGATAAGTTCAGGTACAGATCAGAAGTAAATGATGCAACAGGCTATCATTACTTTAGTTCACGTGCAACAGAAAGTCTTAAATAATCACTGTTTAGTCAAAATATTTCTGTGTTAAATAAGACCAGAAAGCTTTAGGAGTTATATTACAAAACATGTATTGTTTTCTGACTTATTTCTGTATTGTGATTTTTTTTTTATGTGTTCCCCTCCTCCCCTCCCCTCCCCTTTTTTCCCCCCCCCCCCCCCCCCCCCCCCCCCCCCAGCTAAATGGCCTTGATGGTCGAGAAAACTTAGCTCGAGATTTGGGAATTATAGAAGCAGAAGGTACTGTGGGTGGTCCCCTGTTGTTGGAGGTTGTTAGGAAATGTCAGCAGAAAAAGATTTCAGGCAGTGGAGAAGTAAGTAGTGTTAACATGTAATTTCTTTCTTTCTTCATAATTCTTTATTCATTTTCATTTCAATGATGAAGAACAAACTGAAATTAAGGACGCTTGGGTACTGTTCTGGTATTATACTGTTTCAAGTCTTTATTATAGGTAGTATAATAGGAAATGCCTTCAAGATAACTTATCAGAAAACAATGCTGAAAGATAAAGATTATGACTATTGTATTACTTTTAATGCCACCCTAGTACTCTTTACTAATATTTTGCTACAACATAGTAACACAGAGTGAACCCAGTAAGTGACACAAAACACTGTGTCACTTATTTTCTAATTTCTAGTGTGGTTTGATAACACTTCTAGCTCTACCTATTTTCTTTGGCATACTTCTAATTTTAATATGATCTGAAAAGCCTAGAATTGGTTTTGTTAAAAGCTTTAAAGCTGCTCTGAAAACATGTGTTTGAAACTAAATATACGAAAGTATTGAACTACCTGAAGGCAACGACAATAGTATTTTAATGGAATATATAATTAAGTTGTTAATTAAATCAATGAAATCCAGCCAACAGCATTTGATTGTTTTCTGTCGTGATTGTGGCTCAGAAGGAAATTCTCTGCACCCAAGATGCATTCAGTACCCGAACAAAAGCTTAAATTTGGAAATAGTTGTCATAGACTTCCTAAAATAGCATCACAGTGTCACAGTTTGCATGCTCTGTGAGTGAGGATGGTAGCCTTGTTTCTTGTTTGATGATGGTATGACAAAATTCAATATCTTTTTAATAAGTGTTTATGTGAAACTTCTTAGGTGGCTCCAGTTCAAAGTGATAGCCTGTGCCCCACATCAAAATCATCTGATGGAAGATCAAGTACACACCCTATACCAAATAAGGTAAGATTGTTTATACATAATGAAAATGATATACATGTTTATACAAAATGAAAATAATAAACATGAGAAGTAAAAGAGAGAACTATGAAACTGCAGATACGATGGCATTCACTTAAATGATCTGCGAAGTCCTGTACCTTTCCGACTGGGTAGGTGGCAGTGCATGCACAGAGTCTCTGAGTGCCGTGGTTTAACCGCAGCTGGCAACTAAGCACCACGCAGCCTCTCACTCACTCCACCCCTGTGGTAGGATGGGGGAGAGAATCGGAAGAAAGCAGGCCTCCATCATGCGTAACCATTACTTGGGAAGACAAATGCCATCACTCTGAATGTCCCCCACTTTCTTCTTCTTCCCCCAGCTTTATATGCTGAGCATGACATCATATGGTGTGGAATAGCCCTTTGATCAGTTGGGGTCAGCTGTCCCAGCTGTGTCCCCTCCCAGCTTCTTATGCACCCCCAGCCTGCTCACTGGTGGGAGAGGCAGAAAAGGCCTTGACTCTGTGTAAGCCCTGCTCAGCAGTAACTAAAACATCCCTGTATTATCAACACTGCTTTCAGCACAAATCCAAAACATAGCCCCATACTAGCTACCATGAAGAAAATTAACTCCATTCCAGCCAAAACCAGCACACACAGACAGCTAACTTGTCTGTTTATCGCGCAGCTGGCTGATGGCTGCTTGGGATTGATGAGGCGTTAGGATACAACTGTCTTTGTTGTGGCCTGTGACTTTCTTTTCTCTGTACCTTCCTATTAGCACAAAATCTGTATTTATTGACATCTTCCATGACTTTATGTTTGACTGGAATTGATCAACAGGTGGAGAATTATGGGAAAGTGTAGGGCACAGAAAGGGGCATGATCACTTAAGCCTCTTTTCCGCAGGAAACCAGCTACCTACTGCACCCAGTGTGTGTAAAACAAAACAAAAAAACAAACAAACAAAAAAAACACAAACAAAAAACCCCTCCAAAACCCATACAAAATAAAAAAAAAAAAAACAATTCAAGTACTAAAGTTTGTTCAAATTATTGATGTAATCTGATCACATAAAAAGTTTTAATAGCTTTTTTCAAGATTACTGAAAATAACTTAGAAGCTTTCCAACCCACTAGTGAAAGCTGAGAAATATAACATTGCATGGATTTTGTTGTTAGTTTATTCATTTGGGGGAGGGTATGATAAGGATAAAAGAAAATAAAATGACAGCTCAGTTTGGATCTGCTTCATTTTATTCCAGTTCTTTGGTTTTTTTTTTCGCCATGCAAAACCAGAAAACTATACAATTTGAAAAGCAAGCTTCATTTCAAGATTAAGTTACTTTATTAATTGCTGTGCTTGTTGATAGTATCTTAAAAGCTAATCTTTCTGTAACTGACCTTTGAATAGAAATTCTAGTAATTTCAGACTTGTTTTAAGAGAAGATAATTTTTGCTTGGCACCAGCTTTTAAAACAAATCCACTAAAAAGATCTGAATACAGATTAAATATCACTGTTACTAATACCGTTGCTTCATATGTGAGCCCCTGCTCTTGTTTGAGTGGTTCTAGATTAGCTAAGAAGAACTACTGATGATGAGTTAGAAGTCATAAATATTCTATTCTCCTTTGCATATACTAGCTTTCCTCTTTGAGTTTAAATTACTTTATTTGAAATAACTGGGTCAGAAAGAGAAGAGCTAAGTGTTTGTTATGGCTTTTCCTCAGGAAAATAATTAGTTGTCTAGAGGAGGAAAAAGTAGTTCCAGTAGCTTGTAAATTGAACCAGGTTTCATATAGGTTTTTTTCTGGGTGTGCATGCACATGTCTCAAGGCTGGTCTAACCTCTGTCTAGGATGAATCTTATTTCTATATGTCTGTTCTTGACAGCTTTTTGCAATGCAGTTATGCAGGTGGTTTTTTGTTTGTTTTTTGGTTTTTTTTGAGACTTCTACCCTTTTTGCAGTGCTTGAACTTAGCCAGCCAGTCCAAAATACATTGGTTAGGGGAAGACGGAGAGACACGAGCACAGAGGAGTATAATATCTTAAGACTTGTTTCCTTAGGAAACTAAATTGATAAGAATGAGTTTTAAGTTATGCTTGGAATCTCTGCCTTAGAGAAGGTATCCTGGAGTAGTAACAGTGATTCCTGTTGTTGTAAGATTATAATAAGAATAAATGACAGTCTTAGTTCTTTTATCACAATTTTTTGGGCCTGTACAAAACAGGAGCTCCTGTACCCAGCTCAAACAGTGCTGTCTAAACTGTGTAGAAAATAAATATAAACCATGTCTGAGTGATTTCCAAAGATTAGTGCTGTTTTCCAGAAGTGATACTGTGTTGCAGTTCGTTGTAGTCTTCTCTGTGTTGAGGTTGCCAGAATTCTTTTTCAGGCTGCTATCGACTATTTAGATTGCACTAGTCCATAGATGCAAAAATTTCTCCTATTGTCTAACGTCAGCTTAATGATAATGATTGTGACTGGTCCAGTCAATAGTGGCATTTTTTTAGTGTGTGTATACTTAATCCCCAATAAGTATATGGACACAAGAAAGTGATTCTAAGGTTTATTCTGAGGTCTAAGTTTTAGAGAAACTACCAGATAGGAGTATATAATTCTGAGCAAGAAGTATTAAAGTGTGGTAAAAGATCATTCATTGAACCATGTCTCTCCTTTTTTTAAGGAGAGTTTTGTGCAGTGTCAGAACAGCACAGTTGAATTCTTATGGCATGCAGCAGCAGCTGAAGTGGTGATGAGAACACTTTCATTTATATGCTCTTTCTGATGTGATGAGGTTGCAGGTAGAATATAATTTCCAGCAAGTTGGAATTTATGATCAGGCTTCTTATATTCTTTATACCCATCTTCTGTGGCAAGCAAATCATAATTCCATTGCAGTGGGAGACAAATCAACATGTTCTGGAAATGCTTTTCATAATATATTGCTGAATTGTCCATGAGAATATTTTTATCTCAAAATGGGAGAAAATTGATTCCTGTATGGATGTTTCCTCATAGAAACAGCAACAGCTGTTGATTGGACTGCATACTCTTCTAAGAATAAGTGGTGGATATCTTAATGGGACTACAGTTCTTAGATTCCCACACCCCGGTTCTCTGTCTCCTTGGTAAAGGCGGGATGGGAGAATATTCTGCCCGTGCAACATACGTGGAGTAAAAATAACACAGGAGGAGGAAATTTTAGCCAGTCCCGGCTGGAGCAAGAGGGAAGTTACCTGAACACAGTCTAGACTTCCTGATTGAAACTTGAGATTCTCTAGTGGTTTTTCAGCAAACCTGTGAGCTGAACTGGCTCTGACTGTGACTTGGCAACCAATAGACGCAACGTAGAAGGGAGCGTGCTAGGAGAGACCAATACCACAGCTCTTGGCAGCAGCAAAGAATTACATTTGTTTAAGTGCAAGTGCAAAACCACACTCTGACTTATTAACACCATTAGTCTGAAACCCAAGGTAGGCATGTTGCTCTTTGAACCCTCAGCCATGGTTAACTTATCACGACAATTTGAAAGTAGTTATTTCACTGTAGCAAAACTTTACAATATGTGAATTCAAGCAAAGGCCAACTGTTATGCCTCTAGTTTCTCACAGATAGCAGCAGCTCACACCCTCAGGGCCCAGAACAGAAAAGTAGCTGTAATGTCTCTCTTACTCCAGTCAGGGTATCACTAAGCTCTTAATTTGCAACAACAACTCTGTTCCTCTCGGATAGGAAATTAAAATATTGTTGTTACTACCACTTACAGGTATAAGTACTTTTTTTTTTCCCTAGAAGAACTGAGTTGCTGCCAGCAATTGAGTATGGTTCTGTGACTGAGATAAAATGACCTCGGTAGGCTTTTCTCAACTTCCATGGCCTACAGTTTGAAAATCTTGCTTCAGCCTTCTGAATGAAAGTTTAATGACTCATAAAGAAATACTTGGGACAGTGCAATCTACATATTGATTATATGGATTAAACAATACTGTTGGTTTTGTTTTGAAACTGTTGCTATTCTTAGTGTGCAGGAAGCAAGTTTGTGAAATAACTAGATCTTTTCATAGAATCATAGAATACCAGGTTGGAAGGGACCTCAAGGATCATCTGGTCCAACCTTTCTAGCACAATCTAGATGATATGGCCCAGCACCATGTCCAGCTGAGTCTTAAACATGTTCAGCATAGCGGAGTCAAACACTTCCCTGGGGAGATTATTCCAATGATTGACTGTTCTCATTGTGAAAAATTTACCTCTTGTGTCCAATCAGAATCTCACTGGGAGTAACTTGTACCCATTTTCACTGGCTTAATTTTATTAAGTCTAGGGGAAGGAAGTCTAGGAAAATTGGAGTACTGCTTGCTAGGTAGCAAAATGCTATTGCTTAAAAATAAAAATCCGTTTTTTCACAACAGCTTGATTATCTAGGTAAATTTGAATATTGTTCTTTGGGCCGTGAAGTCTTGCAAAGATATGACTTGAGCTGTTTGACTGGCATGGCTGAGTCAAGACCTGCTGGTCAAACTAAAGGGCAGGAAGGAAATGCACAGGCAGTGGAAGGGGGGACAGGTATCCTGGGAAGAGTATAGGGCTGCTGCCCAGTTGTGTAGGGATGGGTTCAGGAAGGCCAAGGCACAGCTGGAGCTGAACTTGACAAGGGATGCAAAGAATAATAAGAAGGGCTTCTACAGGTATGTCAGCCAGAAAAGAAAGGTTGAAGAAAGCATACCCCCTCTAATGAGCAAGACTAGGAAGCTGGTAATGATGGATAAGGAGAAGCCTGAGGTACTCAACAACTTTTTTGCCTCAGTCCTCACTGGCAGCGTCTCTTCCCACACCTCTCAAGTGGATGGACTGCAAGATGGGGACTGGGGGAGCAAAGTCCCTCCCACTGTAAGAGAAGATCAGGTTTGTGACCATCTGAGGAACCTGAACATGCATAAGTCTATGGGTCCCAATGAGATGCATCCCAGAGTCCTGAGGGAATTGGCTGATATAGTTACCAAGCCACTCGCCATGATACTTGAAAAATCATGGCAGTCTGGTAAAGTCCCTGGGGACTGGAAAAAGGGAAACATTGCACCCATTTTTAAAAAGGGTAAAAAGGAGGACTGTGGGAACTACTGACCTGTCAGCCTCACCTCTGTGCCTGGGAAGAGCATGGAACAGATCCTAATAGAATCTATACTAAGGCACATGGAGGACAGGGAGGTGATTCGAGACAGCCAGCATGGCTTCACCAAGGGCAAGTCCTGCCTGACCAACCTAGTGGCCTTCTATGATGGAGTGACTACATCAGCGGACAAGGGAAGAGCTACGGATGTCATCTATCTGGACTTCTGTAAGGCCTTCAACGTGGTCCTGCACAACATCCTTTTCTCTAAATTGCAGACATATGTATTTGATGGATGGACTGTTCAGTGGATGAGGAATTGATTGGATGGTCACGTCCAGAGGGTAGTGGTCAACAGCTCAATGTCCAGATGGAGACTGGTGACAAGTGGTGTCCTTCAGGGGTCCATATTGGGACCGGTACTGTTTAGTACCTTCATCAGTGACATAGCGGGATCAAGTGCACCCTCGGGAAGTTTGCAGGTGACACCAAGCTGAGTGGTGCAGGTGACACGCCTGAGGGCCAGGATGCCATCCAGAGGGACCTGGAGAAGCTTGAGAAGTGGGCCCATGTGAACCTCATGAGGTTCAGCAAGGCCAAGTGCAGGGTTCTGCACCTGGGTCGGGGCAATCCCCAGTATCAACACAGGCTGGGGGATGAAGGGATTGAGAGCAGCCCTGCAGAGAAGGGCTTGGGGGTGCTGGTGGGTGAAAAGCTGGACATGAGCTGACAATGTGCACTCGCAGCCCAGAAAGCCAACCGCATCCTGGGCTGCATCAAAAGCAGCGTGGCCAGCAGGTCGAGGGAGGTAATTCTCCCCCTGTACTCTGCTCTCGTGAGGTCCCACCTGGAGTACGGCATTCAGCTCTGGAGCCCCCAACATAAGAAGGACATGGACCTGTTGGAGTGAGTCCAGAGGAGGGCCACACAAATGATCAGAAGGATGGAGCACCTCTCCTAGGGAGAAAGGCTGAGAGAGGTGGGGTTGTTCAGCCTGGAGAAGAGAAGGCTCCAGGGAGACCTTATTGCAGCCTTCCAGTACCTGGAGGGGTCCTACAAGAAAGCTGAAGAGGGACTTTTTACAAGGGAGCATAGTGATAGGACAAGGGGTAATGGCTATAAACTGAAAGAGGGTAGATTTAGATTAGATATAAGGATATTCTTCACTATGAGAGTGGTGAAACACTGGAGCAGGTTGCCCAGAGATGCCCTGTCCCTGGGAGCATTCCAGGTCAGGCTGGACAGGGCTCTGAGCAACGTGATCTAGTTGAAGATGTCCCTGCTCATTGCAGGGGGTTGGACTAGATGACCTTTAAAGGTCCCTTTCAACCCAAACTATTCTGTGATGCTATTACTTGGTCTTAAAGTTAGTATATAGAATAGTCCTTAAGAGCTTGAGTATCTGTAGGACTGAGCCATAAGCATGATACAAAGACTGAAAGTTATGTACTTTTAAAGTATCTTGTTTGTGTCATTTTTGTTTTTGCTATTTGGAGGGAGAGTGTGTCGTTAACTGCAGTTGTCTTATGCTTGCTGCTTTAAAACCTAATATTATATTGCAGAGATTACCATTTAATATGGAAGTTAGAGCAATTTGCATGGGTTTAAACTGATTTCTTTTGAAGATGATGGCTGTAGCTAACATTTGTTTATAGGCAAGTTGCAAAATAATACTAAGAAAGCATCATGTAACTTTTCAGGCTGTAAAACAAACAACCCCCCCCTATATTCAAAGCTAGGAGGTAAAAATCAGTCTGTGTGTAGATTTCTTTATTTGATGACCAACATCTTTTAAAATTGGTTGCTTTTATAATAGAGGTGATCTAGATAGCAAAGCAATGCAATGGATGGAACAAAATTTTTTTAATGGCAGCAACAGTTAAGAATGCTTCCTTTCTGAAATGATAAAACAACTTTTTTCTCTTGTGTGATTTTTGATGATACTAATAAATTCCTGAGAAGTACTAATAAATTTGAGCTAACTTTTTAAAAAGTGATGGTAGGTGCATATTGTATGTTGTGTGTTTATATTACCACTTACAGTATTATAAGACACAAATCCAGTTTATATGGGTTTTCTTCAAGAGAAATTAGTTATTCCTTTCAGTGAGGGCTTTTTTCTTTATCTTTCAAGGCAGCTGAAACCACTCAAAGTGATACAAGTGTCTCATCAGGGGAAGCAAGCAAACAAAGCATTCATTTTCTGCCTAATGAAATAAAACTAGATCCTCAACTAGAAAACAAAGACTTAAATACCAAAGAAAAAAGTGATCCAGGTGTGGATGAAGATGATGTAGAGGGAGATTCTTTTTTTGATGATCCTATACCCAAACCAGAAAGAACTTATGGCTGGTAAGTAACATTGATGTTCTACTTAATACAGGTCTCTTTTGTCCTCTGTAGGCTTGCAGGCCTTTGAGAGCTAGCTGATGTTTGATTATTCAGTCTGTAAATGTGAGTGTTTAGGCCTGTTCCAGAACACTTTGTTTCCAAAATGTGCATTTCTATGATTCTGTTCTTTGAAATGCACAGTGTCATCTAGGATGTCTGGATATGTACCATGAGTGGAAAAACCTGTGTCACTTTAAGGTGCATCAGTTAGACTATATAATGTCCCCAGCCTATTTCTTTGGGGAAATGAACATGTATGAGGCACAGATGTCAGTGTCTCTTCTTGCAGCAGAGCTGCAGTGTGATCAGTAGTAAAGGAAGTGGACAATGACAGGGGTAGTGCTTTAGATATCTGTATGGCTTTGTAAGGAGTACAAAAAAATCTGGTGGATGTGTAAACTGGCTCCATAAACTGTGATAATAAGGAAAGTTTTCTCACAGCTGAGGGTTTCCTCTTCACATTGTAGCACCTCTTGTGTGCAGTTCTGTTTTCAGTGAAGTGTGTTTATTTCTGCATATGTCAATTTTGCAGACACTTCTGAAAGGCATTTTTTATTGTTCATCTATGGAGTCTGATGACTGAAAAATACCATTTGAAACAAGAACTAGTGACGGAACTATACAACAGCTTTGTTATAAAACTGAAAAACCCATCTTTGTGTTATCATGTCACATTATTTTAAAACTTAGTTTAAATATCTCTATTGAGAAATGCTGCAAGATCATTTCATGGTGTTCTTTTGCTGTGCTCAAGTAATCGGAGAATTGCTCTAGCTTAGTAGAGGTTACCAGAAGAGGTTGCAGAAGTGTTTGCAAGTCAATTTGACAGTAGCTCCCCTCATGTTGGCTTTTTCCCCCAACTACGTTGATAGTGGGTAGAACAGTATAAACTCTTTTGTATTATCGCTGCAGTAGATGCTTACTCTTGGAATGGGGTCATTCTGGTACAGCACAAAGCAATCATGCCAGGTAAACTAGGTGTCTTTCTAGCAAATTGATGGACACTGAGAAGGATTATTTATAATACAGCTTTAGTCAGATGAATATAAAGAGCAGAATTTTTTTCCTCAAGCAGTGATTTTTCTCCCGAAAATATTGTGTTACGAATAACCCTACTATGGTATTTCTTTTCTCTTTTTCTTATTGGAAATACCAAGATTAAAACTGCATCTGAGTGCATTTAATTCTTACTCAAGAGCTCATTTCACTAGCCTTTAACCAAAGTCTAACCATCATAGCGAGTGGCTGTGTTGCCATAAAATAGGTTTAAATGATAAGCTGGGAAAAGTAGAAAAGGCTGGAAGAACTTCTGGATAATAATAACATTTACTAATTTCTTGTTCTTTGAGCATTTTCATATGACAAGAAGGGAAATTCACTTTAAAATTGGGTAAACTGGATTTCTTTAAAAAGGCCATCCATGAAAAAGACTTAATTATTCAGTAAAACAAGGATTTTTTTCCTAGTAGTGAAACTCCCTACAGAAAAAAATATTTCCAAATTATGTGTGTCTGTGGTAAAGTCACAATCCACCAAGTAGTAATTTGTACCTCATAATGTTGTTGTGATGTAGATATTGTAGTAAAGTTCCATAATAAAGTTTGCTGAATATGTTAATAATAAATGAGCTAGCAACTAATTGTAACCAAGCTGAGTCTTTCACTTCTATCCTCCTGCCAGCTCCTCTAGAGGAGAAAAAAGAACATATTCTTCAGGTGAAAGCCTTTTGTGGTATGTTGTGCTGGTGTGCCTGAGTCCCAGGGGATGAGTAAGTAGGAGAGGCGCCAGCATCGCTTGGTTTGCAAAAAGGTAAATCCCTTAGGGGAGCTACACCCATTCCTGTAAGAAGGGTGCATTAGAGAGGAAGGGAGCAAGCAGTTACTAAGGACAGAGTAAGAGATGATCACAGCTCTCATTGCCCCCAGGTCTCTGACCCGTTGTTCAAAATCTTGAAGTGTTTGTGATGTATGCGTGATATTTTGGTGGTATAGATACAACTAATGATTCAAATGTTGTCCATTACTAATAGGAATGGAACCACAGTAACAAATAGTTCTGGTAATAGTAAATGTGAAAATCTTGATCTCTTTTTAATAGTGTTTCTTCAACCTTTACTTGCAAGTAGTATTTGAACTCAACACTTTAAATATATGAATGGAATAGGTAGTAGCCAAGTGAACTTTAACACATGATGAGGAGATCTATCTTGCTCTGAGAGGTTTTCATTCTGTGAACTGACTGCTCTTAGGATTAATAGTTTCATCAGACATAATATCTTTCAGGTATAAACCAAACTAATTTAAATATTGATTTATATCCGAATCTTTCTTCTTTTGGCTGCATTTACACGTGGGGATAATGAAAGGCCCCTTGATAAAAATAGTGATGCTGATGAAGGTGCAGGAGCTCTGTCTGTGAAAGAAGGCAGGCAGAAGTCTTTGCATAGGTGAGAAAGTGACTTTCTTACTGAATGTCTTGCTTGACTCTTGTGCCAGTAAACTGCCTACTGTCTTTAAGGTTGCAGTATGAATAGTCCTTTTCCCTTGCTCTTGTTGCTGTAAATATTACTGTTCTAGTTTTACCACAATTTAGTAAATAGTAGAAAAGAAAGTCACTAGGCACATTTTATAGCTCTCTGAAGTACTTATTTATTTGGTTTGTTTTAGGAAAACTGAAGCTAATAAAGCAGGAGGTCTAGCTTCCCTTTCTGATGCACCACCTCTAAAAAGTGGGTTAAGCTCCCTGACTGGTGCACCTTCGCTAAAGGAGTCTGATAGTAAGTTTTCACATGTTTTTGTGTTTTGATGAATTTAGGAGGTATTTCCCTTAATGTAATGAATGATCTACACATTCAGATGCAAATGTGGTTAAGTAGCCTGTATGCGGCCCCCTTCTGGTTGTAGTGTACTACATAGTAATGCTTTTTTCACTGAGTGCTCACACACTAGTTTTGATATATTATGCTACCATTGGGGCATCTTATGTTTTGGAGCATGAAATACTTACTTACACTCCTTTTTTTGTGTATATAAAGCAGTTTTCAGGAGTATAAAATTCTACTGCTCGGTTTTTAACTGAAATTAACTTATTCTTTTTTATTGTTATCTTGCGTTATTTGCACAAGTTCTTTAGGGATATTTGCTTTTATATTGTGAAACCTGATCCTGAATACTGGAAGATTGTCCCTGTTTGCTACTCATGTTTTTAAATGCTGAGTTCATACCTGAAAATTGGACATAACATATAATTTTATAGTATAGTATGGTAATAAGGTTATTAAAAAGAACACTTTATAAATGTTCGATGGGCATGTTTAAGTGGGATCTTATTAAAGAGTCACAAATTAAATTTCTGATATAAATGCTTTTTGTTTTGTTACAGATTTGAATAGAAACTCAGTTTTGAAAGACCTGCGGTTAGTCAATGCAAAACTAGGATCACTAGAATTAGGCAAGTAACTGCTAAACATGAGTAAGCTCTGATATTTTTAACTGTAAGTTCTGGCCCAGCTTCTTAGAGGAATCTGAGAAACTGAAATACACATATTGAAGTAAAATATTCAGCTTTTACTTCTGTCACTCTTTAACACCATTGTGAAACTTACTGGAGTTAAGAGGAAGATCGGATCTAAAGGAATACAGAAAAGTGAAAACCGGTGTCTTATAGGTGAATTAGTATTTTACAGATGCGGCAAAAAATTGATTCAGTCCATGCATATGTTTGCTAATATCAAGTGACAAATTCTGTTGTCTAGATTTCTAAGAAAAGAAGGCGTTTGTATTTCCGGGAAAAAGATAGCTAGACAAGTCTTACTGGTTTTCAGTGGCATATTTACTTGCCTTCCAGACATTTGAAAGTTGCCTTGTAAGCTTAGGAGCAATATGGAGATGATGTCGTATAAGAAGTATCAACTCTCTCTCAAAATAGAGCTGCCAAGTATTTAAATTTTGTCCTCAGCAATGTAGTCAACATCCTGAAAATGTGTGTTTAATTTCAAAACAGTTTGTGTAAATGAGATTGCGATTAATTAATGGCAAACATAAACTCAGCTTCTCTTCCTAAATCTGCACAAGTAATTTAATCTACTCCCACTTTTGTTGGCCATCAAACCATGTATTTTGGTGCAAGAATACATTATTTTTTTGCGTCTCCCAAAGAGAAAACTTGTTTGATTAATACCTTTTAAAAATTATTTAGGAAATGGAGATGATGATGAGTATGCTGATGACTTCAACAGGTAAGAGAAAAGCGATATTGCAGTAGCATAGTATTTCATGCATTATAAGCATATCTACTGGCATATTGGAATTATTACATAATATTTCAGCTAGTCGCTATTGCTGGAGTCTGTCAGTATCTCTGAACTCCTTTAAGCTTCGCTTTGTTATTTTAATATATATAGTTACAAATTAAAAAAAAAAAAAAACAAAAAACAAAACAAAAAAAAAAACTTTATTTTATGAGGGTATTTTTAAATTTCAAGTCTCT